TTATTGTTCATTAACCATTACTTTATACATAATTTAAAAGCAGTGTAAGGGAGATAATTTCAATGTTGTATTTGATTTATCTCCCTTACACTGCTTTAAATTATGTTTTGTACTAAAGTATTTGTCCATTAACCAGGACAACCTTGTTTTTCCCCCTTTTTTGCCCCTAATTCCTAAACGGTTTGATCCATAACCCCCCAAAGCAAATCCTAACCATCCCTTTGTGGTATGGAAACTTGTAGTATAATTTCAGAGAGATCCATACACCGTTCCACAGTTATTGTCTGGAAACTAGAAAATGCTCATTTTTGGCCCCTTTTTGGCCCCTAATTCCTTAACTGTTGGTACCATAACCCCCAAAATCAATCCCAACCTTCCTTTTGTGGTATTTAACCTTATGGTCAAATTTCAAAAAGATCCATTCACTTAAACTAAAGTTAGAGTGCGAAAACCAATATGTATTCGGACGACGACGCCGGACGACGACGACGACGACGACGACGACGACGCCAACGTCATACCAATATACGACCACAAAATTTTTTTGCGGTCGTATAAAAATCTAAATACATGTTTAGATTCAGCATATCAAAGAACCCTAAGAATTCAATTTTTGTTAAAATCAAACTAATTTTAATTTTGGACCCTTTGGACCTTAATGTAGACCAATTTGAAAACGGAACCAAAAATTAAGAATCTAAATACATGGTTAGATTCGGCATATCAAAGAACCCCAATAATTCAATTTTTGATGAAATCAAACAAAGTTTAATTTTGGACCCTTTGGACCTCAATGTGGACCAATTTAAAAACGGGGCCCAAAATCCAAAAACTTAATACACGGTTAGATTCAGCATATTAAAGAATCCCAAGTAATTCAAGAATAAAACCCCATTGAAATTGGTCAAGAAATAAGCAATTTATACGAAGTATCTTCTTTTGCACAATACTGTGCAATTGAATATTTCTTGCTATTGCGCAATACTGTACAATTGACAATTTCTTGCTATTGCGCAATATTGTGCTATTGGATATTTCTTGCTATTACACAATATTGTGCAACTGAAGATTTCTTGCTATTGCGCAATACTGTGCAATTGAAGATTTTTTGCTATTGTGCAATACTGTGCAATTGAAAATTTCTTGCTATTGCACAATACTTATTATATAATAATTTACAAATCCTGTTTGGTGTGTATCTCCTACCATATCATTATTATTTGCTTTTAAATATAAATCAGAAATAACCAACTTAAAATGGAAAATTTTAAAAGAAAAAAAAAGCAAAAAAAAAAAATACCCCCCCCCAAATTTTTTGAACCCCCCTATGATTCATCACCCCCAAACTCAATCCCAGCCTTCCCTTTGTGGTATGGTACCTTGCAGTACAATTTCAGAGAGATCCATACACTTTAACTAAAGTTATAGTGCGAAAACTAATGTGTCTTCAGACGACAACAACGACAACAACGCCAACGTCATACCAATATACGAGTATATTGTCTGGAAACTAGAATAAAATGCTCCGCAGGGCGCAGCTTGATACGACCGCAGAGGTCGAACCCTGAACAGTTGGGGCAAGTATGGACACAACATTCAAGCTTGATACAGCTCTGAATTTGGATTGTGATTAAATATTTGACACAGCATAGGTTTCTGACACAGAATGAATGTGGTCTAAGAACTTAAAAATTTTAAATTGAACATTCACATATTATGGCCCAATATCCAAAATCTAAATACATGGTTAGATTCAGCATATCAAAGAACCCCAAGAATTCAATTTTTGATGAAATCAAACAAAGTTTAATTTTGTACCCTTTTGATCTCAATGTGGACAAAGTTGATAACGGGGCCCAAAAATCAAAAATCTAAATACATGGTTAGATTCAGCATATCAAAGAACCCAATATATTCAATTTTTGTTGAAATCAAACAAAGTTTAATTTTGGACCCCGATTTGGACCAACTTGAAAACTGGGCCCATAATCAAAAATCTAAATACATGTTTAGATTCAGCATATCAAAGAACCCTAAAAATTTAATTTTTGTTAAAATCAAACTAATTTTAATTTTGGACCCTTTGGACCTTTATGTAGACCAATTTGAAAACGGAACCAAAAATTAAGAATCTAAATACACGGTTAGATTCGGCATATCAAAGAACCCCAATAATTCAATTTTTGATATAATCAAACAAAGTTAAATTTTGGACCCTTTGGACCTCAATGTGGACCAATTTAAAAACGGGGCCCAAAATCCAAAAACTTAATACACGGTTAGATTCAGCATATTAAAGAACCCCAAGAATTCAAGAATAAAAACCCATTGAAATTGATCAAGAAATAAGCAATTTATACGAAGTATCTTCTTTTGCACAATACTGTGCAATTGAATATTTCTTGCTATTGCGCAATACTGTACAATTGACAATTTCTTGCTATTGCGCAATATTGTGCTATTGGATATTTCTTCCTATTGCGCAATACTGTGCAATTGAAGATTTCTTGCTATTGCGCAATACTGTGCAATTGAAGATTTCTTGCTTTTGTGCAATACTGTGCAATTGAAAATTTCTTGCTATTGCACAATACTTATTATATAATAATTTACACATCCTGTTTGGTGTGTATCTCCTACCATATCATTATTATTTGCTTTTAAATATAAATCAGAAATAACCAACTTAAAATGGAAAATTTTAAAAGAAAAAAAAAAGGAAAAAAAGAAAAAAAAGAAAAAAAAAAAATCCCCCCCCCCAAATTTTTTGAACCCCCTTATGATTCTTCACCCCCAAACTCAATCCCAGCCTTCCCTTTGTGGTATGGTACCTTGCAGTACAATTTCAGAGAGATCCATACACTTGAACACAAGTTATTGTCTGGAAGTTACAAAAATGCTTATTTTTGGCCCCTTTTTGGCCCCTAATTCCTTAACTGTGGGTACCATAACCCCCAAAATCAATCCCAACCTTCCTTTCTTGGTATTAAACTTTATGGTAAAATTTCATGGAGATCTATTCACTTAAACTAAAGTTAGAGTGCGAAAACCAATGTGTCTTCGGACGACGACGACGACGACGACGACGCCAACGTCATACCAATATACGACCAAAATTTTTTAATTTTTGCGGTCGTATAAAAATGTGTTTTTGGGCCCCTTTTTGGCCCCAAATTCCTAAACGTTTAGGGCAATTACCCCTAACTCAAACCCAGCTTTCCCTTTGTGATATGGAACCTTGTAGTACAATTTCATAAAGATCCATACACTTACACACAAGTTATTGTCCTGAAACTAGAAAAATGCTTGTTTTTTGCCCCTTTTTGGCCCCTAATTCCTAAAATATTGAGGCAATTATCCCCATCATCAATCCCAGCCTTCCCTTTGTGGTATGGTACCTTGCAGTACAATTTCAGAGAGATCCATACACTTGAACACAAGTTATTGTCTGGAAACTAGAAAAATGCTTATTTTTAGCCCCTTTTTGGCCCCCAATTCCTCAACATTTTGGGCAATTACCCCCAAACTCAATTCCAGCCTTCCCTTTGTGATATGGAACCTTGTAGTACAATTTCAGAAATATCCAAACACTTACACACAAGTTATTGTCATGAAACTAGAAAAATGCTTGTTTTTTGCCCCTTTTTTGGCCCCTAATTCCTAAAATTTTGAGGCAATTACCCCCAAAATCAATTCCAGCCTTCCCTTTGTGATATGGAACCTTGTGGTACAATGTCAGAGAGATCCATACACTTACACACAAGTAATTGTCTGGAAGTTACAAAAATGCTTATTTTTGGCCCCTAATTCCTTAACTGTTGTTACCATAACCCCCAAAATCAATCCCAACCTTCCTTTTGTGGTATTGAACCTTATGGTAAAATTTCATAGAGATCCATACACTTAAACTAAAGTTATAGTGCGAAAACTAATGTGTCTTCCGACGACAACAACGACGACTACGCCAACGTCATACCAATATACGAGTATAACAAGCATTCTGATATAGTCCCCTACTGGTTAAGAATTCATTGTACTGGAACAAAATGCTAACTTGATCTATAACTTGTCATGGTGTAAACTATATAACAAATATCAAGTCAATATCTTCAAGCATGACGAAAAAAAGTGTGGAAAACTGATTATTTGAGTGAATTTTCTAAGTCCAAGGAGCATAACTCTTCACAAAATCATCAGACTGGAATAAAATTCGAACTTGATCTTCATGATAAAACTATATACCAATTATTAAATCAATATCTTCAAGCATGACAAACAAGAATGTGTCCATATCACATGGATGCCCCACTTGCACTATCATTTTCTATGTTCAGTGGATCGTGAAATTGGGGTCAAAACTCTAATTTGGCATTAAAATTAGAAAGATCATATCATAGGGAACATGTGTACTAAGTTTCAAGTTGATTGGACTTCAACTTCATCAAAAACTACCTTGACCAAAAACTCTAACCTGAAGTGGGACAGACGGAGGGACGAACGAACGGACACACAGACCAGAAAACATAATGCCCCTACTACTATCGTAGGTGGGGCATAAGAAAAGTGCGGAAAACTGATTATATGAGTGAATTTTCAAGGACCATACCTCTGCACAAAAGCATCAGATCAGAACATAATTCGAACTTGATCTGATCTGCAACTTGTCATGATAAAACTATATACCAAATTTCAAATCAATATCTTCAAGCACGAAGAAAAAAAGTGTGGAAAACTGATTTGCCGACAGATGGAGTGCAAACCTAAAGTCCCCTTGATTTCGTCAGAAGGGGACTAAAAAAATCTATATTTATAATAAGGTATCTCTCTCCTTTAATCTTTATCAATAGACCCCAATTACATGTTTTTTTTTGTTTTTTTTTCAAAACAACATCTACATTAAACCTCTGTGCAACTGGTATTTGGAAAACAATTGCTCTCTGAATCCTAGAGCTGTTTCCATATTTTTTGAGGTTTTGTAGATAGAAAACAAACACAGGATACAAAATGATACTCGCAAGTGAGTATATAATTTTTAATTTAAGATAATGTACATCACTTCAAAAATTTAGTTTGATCTACAATTAAAATAATGTAGATTTGTTTATAAAACAGTGTATTTTTTCAAAATCTACAGTGAAATCTTTTCACCAAACATCTAAATATAATAAACCATACATAAGTTCTGGATCATCTATAACACTTCATGCCTGCCTACTGTCTTTCTCAGTATGATGACCTTGAGGTGATTAGGTCAGGATTTGGACATGAAAAGTTTTACATCTACTGAAAACTAGTATTATACTTAAAACATCTTGATTCACATGTCTTTAAAGCACATCCTGATTTGGAAATGAAAAGTACATAATCTTTTAAGAGGTCAACCCAGTTACAAGGTTTATTTTTAATGACCTAAAATATCGCTTTCTGCATTTTCAACACCTTTAAATAAAATGTTGCAACTTTAAGAAATCATTGCAGTTGTTATATATAACAAAAGCAGGTTTTTTTCTTACATTTATAATTTATATCAAAACTGCTATAAACTTATGTCATTATTGTCTATAGATGGTTTGCTGCATTTAGTTACTACACTTTTAAAGAAGTCAGGGAAACTTGAATGCTTTTAAAATAATGGATACAAAAATATGTTTCATAAATATTGATGAAAAACCCAGTTCCCTGAGTCCTTCACATCCATACTGGTATATCAATAAAGGTAATACATTTCATGTCCAGTTTAATTGGTCTATTCAGCACTTATGACTTGCAACATAAAAAATATAGCACTTAGAATGGATTAAATATAGCCTTTAGTTAATCCTATAAAATTCTGTACATTCCCCTCTCTCAGACATATGGATTAGTTACCAAGAATTGCCAGCAATTCTTTTACATCAACCCAATTAGAGCACTCCCTCTCACTCACCCTTAGTAAAATCATCATCATCAAATATATTTCACAAAAAAATCCCAAGTACTATATTGCTTCGAGATCTAAACTTGGCATTTCGAATAACCGGAAAAAAACAAACAAAATACTACAAGCCAGACAATCAGTTATAGTGAAAGTAATGATAACAAAAATGAACATGGAATTCTTATTACCAACTATGACACAAGATTCAAGGGTTCTTAAATTCCTATATTAGAGACATTTGCAACATTTGATTGATAATTTTAATTCAAATTATTTAATAATTGACTTCAAAATTTCAATTCTTTCTCTCCAATCAACTTACTAGAATGGTTTTTCAAACTTGAAATAAAAGAAGATGAGGAGAAATTAGCAGGTAAAATATGACATAAATCCCCAAAATAATCCAAGTTGTAACGGGGAACATAGTTAAAATTAGATTGTTATGACAAAGAAATAAATATATCTGAGAATAAATAGACCAGAACCATAATGTGACTTCCTAATTCATACAGTTGTATAAATTCTACCACTTGTCAATTGAGTGTGATACAATATTTTCCCTCTAGACAGTTAAATATTACAATGTAAATGTTTAAAATTTAACTGATGACAGTATAAAATATTGTATTGCTTACAATTCATTGGTGGAATCTATTTCTCTAATGATATAAGATAATATATATAGGTAAACTTTATCTTTCTTTTTAATGAACTGCAAAAAAAGATTGCGTCTTTTCTCTGTGACATCATCAGATATGGTTAACTTTTTCGTTACGTTACAATAGCTTAGTCAAAGGTAAAGGTAGGCAAGAAAATTTGATGTCTTAATTTCACTTTGATCAATAAGAAAGGGTTCAAGTGAACTACACATTGATCATAAATAAATAATCATCTGGTAGAGGAGTGTATAAAATGACAACGTAATTTTTTTTTTTTTTTCCCTTAATGCAAATAAAAAAAATTCCCTTTTTGGTGCTAAAACCAAAAGCCAATAAAATGAAAGTGAGGATGAATGTTATCGTATCAGATGATTATACACAAAGATTATATTAACTCAGTTGCATACACTAATATGATAATAAACAATGAATGTTAGAAAATATCATTTAAATTGAAATCTTGTCATACAAATCTATAAGTTTGTGATGATCAATCCAGCACTTTTTAATTAAGTTTTTTTTATAGTATTGAACCAAATATAGTTTATATGAAGCTGTATATTTTTGACTCAATAAGCACAACCTCAAGAGTTGTATTTCGACTGTAAGACCACATACTAAGGATTTTATCTGTTATAAGACTGCAGTAAGGATTTCACCATATCTTAACTTTATATATATAAACAACATCACTCCAAAAAAGTTGAACACCAGTTTCAATTAACATGTAAATCATTTGTTTATCTTTGTAGCATTTTCAATTACATTAGTTGTTTATCTGGAAGAATTTTTTGTTAATAGTACTAAGCTCTTAACTGGTTTTGAATGATTGCAGTCTGTCATTTTAAAAATATTAATCACCCAATGTCTTGCTTGACCGATGACAGAAGTAAACAGTAAAACACAATGTTCAAGGTCAATCAATGACGTGCCAATACATTTTGTGAAGGCCACTTTCTATGGTACGTTATATCATTACAACTTATATAATTTTTACACTGTGGTTGAATAAATCAAGTGTAACAACCCAAGACTACAGCCTAAGCATGATCGCTTGGACACCAACAAATCTATGGTAACAAAATGTTATAATTGAATAAATAGTTTAGAAAAGAAATAGTTTCAGTTTCTCCTTTTGTGTTCAAAATTACAATCTTAAGTTAAAACAGTTTGTCTTTTTACAATTTTTCTGAGAGTTTATTTAGGAATTCAAATCTTTGATAATGCTTCATATTTGATTGTCTAAATTACATGCTGCAGACGACAAAAAAGATGGTGAGAATCATCATATATTCAAATGCAATTTTCTTTCTTACTAAAATCACAAAATAAACCAACAAAATCATAAATATTCACAACACTAAAAAAGGTGAAGTATAATTCTCTATACAAAGAATGAGAACATGCTCCTAAAAAATCTCTAATTATAACAAAGTACAGGATATTGTGTATAGTTTTGTATGTAAAACATGTGAGTCTTTGCCACACCTCCAAAATCTTTCCCCCGTTATTGTCATCTTTATTACACGACGATTACTCCAAAATCACCATGGTGATAACTCTGTTTGTAACAATTCTTCACTTAGATCAGTTATAAATATCAACTATAAATGTAAATTAGTAAAACCGATGATATTATTTTCTGTCAGTTCAAACATAGAAAAACATTGAATGAACAAATTTAAAGGAATCCGATTTAAATTAATCCTAACTGCATGGAAATGATATTGAACAAAGCATTTGATAATATATGTTGAAAGAGACAATCAATTGAACTAAGCCCCTGAAACTAGTATAAGAAAGTCCATATATAGATAGCCTGAATTTTTACATGTGTACATGATATGAAAAATTTACAATATAAGGGAATTGCACTTCTAAAAACAACTTGAAAAAGGTCTAGAATATACATAAAATGCACCAATAGCAGTTGTACTATGGAGTTTTTAAAAAATGATACAGACTTTGCAACTCGAAAAATCATCACAAAATTATTTATTGAAGCTAAATTTGACAACAGTAGTTATGTTTGAAATTAGTGGCAAGTTGCAAGTGTTAGATAAAAAACATACTCTTAAAAATATAACATGATGTTTTTCTAGCATTATTACAATATTTCAAACTGAAATTCCTATCTTAAAATATTTACTTAATTCCGTACAATGAAACAATACAATACAATCTTTTTGCAGCGTTTTATAGCTGACTGTGCAATATGGGTTTTGCTTATTGTTGAATGCAGTACGGTGACCTATAGTTGTTAGCTTCTATGTCATTTAGTCACTGGTGGAGAGTTGTCTCATTGGCAATCATACCACATCTTCTTATTCTTATATTAGAAATTCTAGCGGATATATCTCAACAGATTTTTCATGGGCAATACTGATATTTTCTATTTTCACAATAATGCAATTCTGACCTTTTATCCTGAAACTATTTTACATAGAAAAAAACCCCTCATAGTATCATAAAAATCTTCATTATAATTATTAAAGGTATTCATAGTATTGTAATTTAAGTCAAAATAAAACTCATATCACTTTATTTGCCTTCATAGAATCTAAAGAACTATTGATCATTTTATTGTCCATACAACCAAATCAAAATAATGTTAGACCATTGGCCACATTTTTATTGTTGAAGACAACATAAACCAATCAGAATGTTTTGGAAATACTACCATGAATTATTTAGATTCTGATGCTGCAAATTACCCAACTGCTTAACAAAATATATAACATGTGCCTTTTACATAATTATCAATTCCCTGAATTTTACAATTTGATTTTCAAGAAGGCACTCTTGTGGTAATAAATTAATATGTTTCTCAGTCACTGAATACCAAATTTTAAACCATGCGACTTAAGAGAAAGCTGTTCCTCAACATAGTTCCTATATTTCAACATTAAAGCTAACAAAGTTGAAGTTACAAAAGTGTTAATCTGAAATATACTGTAAAATACAAATGAGGAAAATGTGATTTGCATCTGTGATAATTTTATAAATCATAATTACATAAAACATCAGAATGAATCATGTTAATCAATTTACAGAAAATGAAATGTACATTAAAGAAGAATTGGTATGGAATGCAAGTACTTTATCGAAAATTGTGAGAAGACAAAAACTAGTTTACTATAATATACAATGCACGCTCCTAAATGCTTTCAAAGGTGATATAAACTAAAGTATTAAATGTAACTATGTTAAAAAATAACTAAACAGTTCCTAACTGAACTAACTTGAATACAAACTTTGAAACTTAACAAAAAAATATATTTCATTTAAATCATAAAACAATAAATTTTCAATATTTAGCACTAAATAGTTTTCATTTGATTAAATTTGTCAAGAAAAGAAAATGGCACACACTGTGATAACTACAAAAAGGTTGCAAGAGTTCTTACTTTAATTAACTGTACAAATATATCAAATGAATCAATTATACGTCCCTGTATACATCCACAATAGATCATAAACTACATACATCAAAGGCTATGTAGTTATTCTATTGTATAATTTCTGCTTTTTAATAATAATTTATTTTTTTTAATAATTAAAGCAGTTATTTTTTTCAATATTACTTTCTTTAGAACATAAAACAAGGAGTAACAGTTGAATTGATATTTCTCAAAATAAGTTTTTTTATTAAAATTTGTATACCTTGTTAAAGATCAATTCTTACAAACTTTATCAACTTGAGAGAAATACACAGGTAGCTTGGGCATTCTGTCCCCCTCATTTTCTGAAAAAGGTAATTCTACTAATAAATAATGGTCACAGTTAACTAGATAAGACTCTTTAACAACCTTTAACACTGTGTAATCAATAATAAATGAATGCAATTTTGCCATTTCTATACAAAATACTACTTTCACATTATCTTGTATTAATCACAATTGGCTGAAATTGCAAAATATAAAGTTTTTAAATATCTAACATGAATTTGAAGATCCTAGACACACCTATATTACAACCGGTATCCACCAACACTTAAAGATCGTGAAATCTGTGTATGACATATAGGACAGTTCATTGCTTTGGACGAACATGTATCACATAACACTCTATGACTACACGGTAGAGGTGAACTACTTTTCATCTTGTCCTGACATAAAGCACAACGAACACTCTGCTGATATAGGATCATCTGAAATCATAAATTCATACATTTAAACTGAGAGCTTTTGTTGCAAAAATAAACAATGTACTAATAATTTATCATTTCATATAATGAAAACCAAAATGTTTGCGAATACTTTTTTTTCATGTTTAACTCTTTCTAGCTTACTTCATGAGAATTTATTTTCACAATTTTCTTTTTTTTTTGTTTCTTTTTTTGGTATATTCATATAAGAGTAGATCATATAGGAATAAGGAGATGTGGTATGATTGCCAATGAGACAACTATCCACCAAAGTTCAAATGAAGTGGATGTAAGCAATTATAGGCATAGTTTGACATGTTCATGACAATTTACATTTGTGTTATCAATCTACTAGTGACAGTCATGAAAAAAAATCACTCACAATAACTAGTTGGCTTATAGTACCTATATTTCATCATTTCATGTATTTTTCATAACCATTTTTGTCACATTTAATGGCAATTCTGACAATTCAGATTTGTAAATAAAAGATATTCAATTTTTTGTTACCCACTTTGGCAGCTATATTTGGCCTATTACAGGAATTTCATATTGAATTTGATGTTTGAATTAACCACTAAGTTCTATTTATAGTAATGCAAGACATTCAAGTATGTAGACAGGATAATCACACAAAATTCATCAAACTGCACATCAAACAAAAATGGTTGAGAGTCCTTTAAAATTTGGTGTCAGAGTAAAAAAGTAGCAGGCAAGATAACTTTTTTCTATTAAATAAAGACACTTCTTACTGATAGCAAATTTTTCATTAACATTCATAGTACTATTTCTGTGCAGATCTAACTTGCTCTGATGTGTACGTTATGGTACATACTGTGTACTAACTTTAGTCTTATGAATCTTTTTTATGCTATAGACTAATTTGTTTTTTTATGAATGAGTTCCATCGGTGGACCTGAGGTCAATTGGCGTAAATGACATAAGAATTGCGTTATAGGAAATGTACGGGAAAATGCATGAATTTGAAAGTCCTCTATACACTACCTTTTCCATTCTTTCCAAATCCATTTTAAGTTGTTGTTGAACTTGTCTCATCTGTGTCAATGATAAAGAATCCAGCTCGTTTATTCGTGTTAAACACCTAATACTGTTACTGCTCACTATCTCTAGTTGTTGTTGAATAAGTTTACTTCTTTGTATTGCCTGAAATTATAAAGGCTTAAAGATTACAAAGCTAAAACATACATATTCATAAATTTAGAGGTAAATTTTTAAAGTTTGTAAAAACACATACTTCATATCAGTATCGAATCTTGAACTATGTGACAAAGGAATCGATACACAAAATTAAACAGTGGCAATAAAACCCTAATTTGAAATCAGCAAATATGGAAAAATAAAACACAATTGGTATTTCTTTTTATTTAAAATAAATGGAGAATGTGTCCCATGCCCCTGCATGCAGGGGTATTACTGGAGAACAGTAAAAGTGAAGCCACCCAAATTCGAACTCAATCTGTATTTTGTGGTAATAAGCATTGTGTATAAGTTTCATAACATTTGGTCGAGGCAAACTAAAGTGAGAGTATGAAAACCAATTTCATGACATACATACGAACAGACAGACAAGGGTCACACTTGAAGCCCCCTCCAGTGAAAGCAGGGGCATAACAATGTTGAACTTAAGATTTGGCTTATATGTCTTATATGATCTTCTACATCATTTGGTCTATGGCAGAGAGTTGCCTAATTGGAAATCATACCACTTCTTATTTTTTATATATATAGATCTCAGCAGATTTTATCTTCTTTGGAGTGACTTCAAAGAAGCTTATTCCTGTAGTATAATACTAGGAATTTTTCACCCTGAAGCTGGATTTCACCTTTAAATAGTTACCCCTTCCCAGATTTCTTTATTTTAACACCAAAATTCAGACTTGAAATTTATCAACCATTATTTATATTAAAGTGCCATTAGCTATGATTCAATATAGTATTGTGTTCTTTTTGTTTCATACATTTACAAGAACAGAATATTAAATAATAATTTGCTATTAGCAGTATATTTGTCAAATTACGCTAAAAAACATCACTGATACATAATTTTACTTTCATTTTGATCCATATGCATGCAACCTGGTATGAGACTTCAGTTGAAGATCTATTGAGCATGTGCTTAGCATGTTCAGATATTGAAAAGAATGAGATCTAAAACAAGTGAAACAAGGGTTGCCAGCAGGAAGACTGATTAGATTGACAGATTTAGCTTGCAAAAAATAATCATTCTAATACAGGTAAAACAATAATTTACATAATATTTTATCTGTGATATGAAATAAAACATAACTAGGAAACTTTGATTGTGCTTTGTCTGTATTTACATTTCTATCTATATCCAGGTCACATGCCCATCGGCAATCTTCTGAAGTTATGTCGATGGTTACTTAAATGTTCTAGTCCCACAATATGCACCACATGTTGATACTTTATAGAGATTAAATGCATTAATTCTGATATACATTTTAGTTTATAATTAATCAATTTTGAGAGTTTTATTCAAATTAGTGGGCATAAAGCCACTTTAAGATAATTGATGGTCTTATTTGAATCAAAACTGATAGAAACACATGATTTTAATGTAAAAGTTGTTAAATCGGTTATCAAGATTTGATTAACACATGTTGTTTTTCTGTACACAAGGCAAACAAAGCCTCAAATCAAATATTTCTTCAAGAAGGAAGTTATTCTTGGATAAATAAAACAGATAAAGGTGTCTTATTTTATATCTGTTTGTGTAAAAGAAAACTCTGTGGTGGAAAAGATAACATCAATGTCCTGTGTGTTTCATAAATAGCAGGTCCATACCAATGAAGAAACAGGGGAAGCATTTGTCAATTCAAATATTCAAAGAGAAATGTGTAATGCAGAATAATGCACGATCAAATATAATTTTGTGTCAACATGCAAGCCTTGTCAAATTTCTTCGATACAAACCAATAGTTAAGCCTTTGAGGAACAAGTATAAATTACCTCATCTCTCTGTTTTACAGCATGATTTTTTTCATCATCAGCATTCCTCGTCTTTCTCATTGATTCTTCTGCTTCTTTCTTCCAAGCTTCACATGCCTATAATCAAATTATGATATACTTACAAGTCAATACTTAAAATACCAGAATATTTTTGTTAGCTAACAGGTTTAAAACAAGAATGCAAGAGTTGTCATTTAAAGCATTTCATATTTTTGTAATTCAAATTATATAAGTATATTTATTTGTGCAATATGTTCAGAGTGTGGATTGGATGTTGTCAATGTTTATCTCTGCTCTCGACATACAAATTTTTAACTTCTCTTTTTTGCTATGTTATTAGTCTTCATATATATACATAAATACACACACACACTGTTGTTACATACATATTTAAATTGTGAAGATTATGTTTATGTAGAAGTGAAATTGGATTTAACAATTCACAGCATCATAAAGTGCATGATTTTGAAGGGTAAATTCTATTTAGCATTTTTAGTATAGTTTATGCACTAGGTTTTTGGTCAAGCCATCCAGTCACACCAGTGTTCTCCCCAGGCCGATATGACGCTGCGGTGTCGCAGCGCCTTCATAATATTTTAGTAGATCCTGCAGCGTCTTAATTGGCCGCTGTCCCTTAATACTTGATCCCGCAGCGTGTTAATTTTCACATTTTCATTATAAATGTTGGTTAAAATTGTCAAGTTACTGATCACCGCTGATGGGTCGGTCAGTGTTACGCAATAACTGATAATTAGTTTTACCTGAGCCACGCTTATCTCAGCCTTATCGGACTATGTTATCAGGTAAAAGCGTAAATGATTATCAAGAAGATAGATATTTTTTGAAGAAAATTCAAAATTTTAAAAACTTCAGTGCAGAAATTGAAGAAATAGATCGCAAATACATTGTATTTACGCATCGTGTGTGTGATCACTTGACCATTTATATAACGAATTTTTTCATTGGTTGAGAAGAAGAATCTATTTAAACACGACCAATGAACGTGTTGAATACACATGATAAATTTGAATACACATTGCTAAAGATATTTACGATGAAAACTATGATTGAAAGTATTAGTAGTTGAAAAAATTAAAATGAAGTTTGATTAAAGATAACGAGGAGTGATTTACTTTAAAAGAAAGTGAAAAAATGTTGCTTGCAAGGTAAATTCGTCTGAAACTGTCATATTTTTAGAAAATAAATGATCATTGAACATCGATCGTGAATCCGTGCGTCGGGAAATATGTGACAATCAACACGGGTACAGAATCGCGGCAGCTTCTGTATAATGTCACTGGTAAATAATTTCAATGGTTTTAACTTTAACAAATTTGTAAAGTTTCGTTTATCATGTTTATATCTATCTGCCAAAGATAGGATTAAGCAATAATACGCATGGAAGCGTAATGTGAAACTACGGAAACTGGTCAGCTGTTCATTTATAAAAAAAAAATGTTTTAAAAAGTTGTATACCAAATATCTTAACCATATCACATTCGATTTTATTAATTCTGAATGAACATGTTCTCTGCAAATAACAAAGGGTGAATTATAAGCAAAAGGTAGATGATGGAAGTAGAAGTTTTTTTCAGACCAATGACTTCTAATGAAAAGGGGAATACACCTCCATCTACACTGTCAGTATAAGCAGATTTCATTGCTTCTCCTAATCCCAACCAAGCTCAAGTTTTAGCAATTGATAAAAGCAAGCACCATGTTTCTGGTTTCAATGACAAGTGGCTGACTGAGTTTTCATGGCTTAGAAATGTTAAAGGGGGTATAAGCAAAAGTTATTGTGAGTGGGGGTTTAATTTTTAACCCTGAAGAGGATAAAGACAAAGTTGAGGAACAGACTGTCCAACAAAATAACACTATCTTGAAACAATATCCCTAGAAGGAGCAGAGAGTAGAGATGAATATTTATATTTTGACTTCTTTAATTGACTGAATATAAATAACTTTTTGTGTTTAAAATCAATTTATTTCATATATATATTCTTGTAATTCATTAATACTCTGCATTATTAAACACATAACACAAAGCATTATAATTCATATTGCATGTCATGATTTATGACTTATTGCTTCAGATCACAAACGTTCACTCTAAAAAAAGAGTTACGCGCCCTTGAATTTTGCGCCTTAAAAAAATCCTGGGGAGAACACTGCACACTAAATGTTCATGTTAGGTTGCAATCTTGATTGGTGGCTGTCAAGGTGACATTTTATCCATATCTCTTTAGACAGTCTAATTCATGGCAGATTGATAGATAATATCAAACTTACACATTTTGCTTGTAAATAAGCATGCTCCCAGTGATCAATTTTAGCTTTGTGGGTTGCAGACTCTTCTCTTAGCTTGTGTAATTCAGCAGCAGGGGTACTATTTGATAAACTAGAAGAATAAAGTGGTGAGTGAGGTCCTAGAGGTCCGCTCCGTGGAGACATTGAATTCACATCTGAATGTATTGTAGAATATTTACTGTTGTTATAATTTAATAAAGATGATATCTGAAAAAGAAAGTAGAAATTGTTAACTTTCTTAATCATGTTATCAAAGCATTGTTTGCGCTGTGAGTCAAACAATCTGATTTACACATCCATTCATGTATATCATTCCATTAAAAACATCATTTCTTTAGAAATGTTTTATTCAAAGTGGTTGTTGGAAGCTCTCCATTCCAGTAATGAAATGGATATACATACTCATAACACATCTCTCATCTTGGATAACTGAGATTGAATTGTTAGCCTTAAAGGGTCATGATTTTTTTTGTTTAACCAGTCAATATATTTCTTCTGATGTTGTTCTTCAATACATGTACCTCAGAGACTGTCAGAATCTTAAAGACAACATTCCTGTTTTTTTTTTATTTGCTATGACAAAATAGAAGTAGAAACAATGTTAAGGTTCTGTACTAACGATCTGAACAACTACCCAGTATGCAAACATCTGGGATGATGGCAGATGAATAAAATGGTGTTTGATACTTTTTACAAGTCACTTACATCTATATGGTTTTATTAATTGCTTCAATTCAGAATTTTGTCCCATCTTAAAATCTGTAGTAATGACATACAGGCAGCATTAGCTGGCTCAAAAACACTTTCTAATTTGATAAATCATTATTGTTTCTTTTAATTTTTGATATAGTTTAACGTGTGTTACAAAACTGCTGTATATTTGTAAAACATTCTGACAGGTTTACCAGAATATTTTCTTTATCCTCTAACAGTGCAAATACTATAACTGAAATTTGTTGAAAATAAATAATTGTTAAATTATCAAATCTATTTTTTTGTTTTCATTGAAATGCATGAAATTTGGATACACTAGCTATAATACATACATGATCATCATTCTTTTGTTGATTTGTCAACAGCTGATGAGAAAAGCTGCCAAAGGGAGAGGGTGGAGACTGTGAAAGACTTCCTACACTACCTCGTGGTAGACCTCCTGGTATACCTATAGGTAAAGAGGAGTTTCCACAACCATAACCTACAATAAAATGATTGTCCTAATTTTTAATTTAAGTTTCCTTGTAATATGATGTTAAATAGACATGAAACAATAAATAATTGCATTTAAATTTGTGGTCACATTTTATCTTGGGGACAAACAATTTCACAGTCAAGAAATTTAATACCTGATCTTAATCATATAGTTGTCTTAGATTTACACTACACTGGAAGGATGACTGGTTTTAACAGGCTAACCTATTTTAATGACCAATAATACTATCATCAACAAAAGCATCTCATCATTCCTCGCCTGCAATATCTGAATTTTTCTATAACAAGGTTAGATGAACTTTACCTTTGACCCAATTTACAGTTCCAAGTTTGATGGAGCATTGATGCCAGACTGAACATGTATAATGGCCACAATTTAGTTATTGACAGACAGACACACTGAAAAAGAATCTACCCATACTATTTCTCTCTAAACAACTTTCTGGTCATAAGAAATAAATGAACCTTAGTGAGCACACTTACATCCACCCTTTATCTCCAAACCAATGTTTCAAATACTCATTTCATTTTAATCCATGGTTTTGATGAGAAGAGTACCAACATAACAGAGGTCTACAGTTTTCTTATTAGTACCTGTCATTTTAATGTTATCATAATTGAATAGATATTGATTTCTGCTAAATAACTCAAAGGCCTGCTGCATTCCTTGGAAACCTTTTGCACACAAATTTCAGCATCCCTCTCCATAAACAGCTATATACAATTACAATGTTATGGAAAATTAATTAATTCATAAACAATACACATTGTAATTTTATAGCCGACTATATGGTATGGGTTTTTCACATTGTTGAAGGCTGTACGGTTGCCCGTAATTGCTTACATCCACTTCATTTGAACTTTGGTGGATAGTTGTCTCATTGGCAATCATACCTCATCTCCTGACTTTTATATACATGTTAATCTCTATTTACAGAAACAATAGTGAAGTATATGTGTAAACATATCTTGGTATCTTAAATGTGTCCTTAGCAATTATAGTATAGAACAGATAGAAATTACTCTCATTTTTAAAACATATTTGAACATTTGTACATTAAATCAAAAAGGTTTACCTGAGGAGATACCAGCACTAATGGAACTGCTTAATGAATTTGTATCATCACGATCTAATTCTTTGTCTAAACTGTTTAAATCAATATCATCTAAACATAGATCTTCTAATGCATGGCCTAAAATATAAACAAAATCAAGTTCCATATTGTAATAAAGTTTATATCATGGGTGCTCACGATGAAATGTCTCATTGCTTTACTGATTACAATTGCATGTTGTGCTGGAATTCATGAAGATTGAGGTATTACTATCTAAAATTTATCAACGATCCATGACAATAAAGTCAAGGTCAGACCGACTAACATGTACATGAACATCTTCCAATCAATTTATTCCCCAGAAATAAACACCCATTCTGTCAATTTAAGTATCTTGCATTAAAAGCAATATCAAGATACATAAATTTGTTTTTTTCTATTCTATATATAATTCAAGAGTTTGATTGTTCTTTCTTAACCACATGTAACATTGTTTTTGCAGTTATACATATACAATATTCACCTATAACTGATCCTACTGTATCCCCTGGTGGGTAAAAGGCTGGTGCTAGTGGAGACATATTTGAAGAGGACATTCCTGTAACACTTGCATATGAAGATGTATTAACTGCACAATTGACTGCATTGACTAATATTAAATTCTGTTTACGTTTCGCCTTTTCTACAGTGTCTATTGTATGATCACTATCTATAGATGCTAATTGTTGTTTCAGTTTAAACTGCAACAGAAAGAAATATGAAACATTATTCAGTAATACATATTAAAAGCATCAATTTGTTATTATCTGTCATCTTTACCTATTGTCAACAATGTTAGATTAACAATAGAATAAGTTCATCTATAAAACTTTCAGATATATTCAGCAATAAAATGCTCCGCAGGGCGCAGCTTGATACGACCGCAGAGGTCGAACCCTGAACAGTTGGGGCAAGTATGGACACAACATTCAAGCTTGATACAGCTTTGCATTTGGATCGTGATTAAATATTTGACACAGCATAGGTTTCTGACACAGAATGAATGTGGTCTAAGAACTTAAAAAATTTAAATTGGACATTCACCTATTATGGTCCAATATCCAAAATCTAAATACATGGTTAGATTCAGGTGTAATACCACCATTGATTTTCCCCTATTAGTCTTTGTTAAATTTGCACTTTTCCAAAAATTGTGCAGAATTTATCTTTGTTTCAAATAAAGAAATACTTGGCATGAGTAAAGTTTGATCCTGTCCAGTACTATAGAAAAAATTTCACATAACATTTCATTGCATATAAGAAAATAACCATCACTGGAAGTTAACCAATCAAATTTTCCCCCTTTTTTAACCTGTATACAAGCTTTAGTAACCATGTAACCTCAAGTTTCCAAAATATTCTATAGAAACCCCAAATAAAAAAATAATGGTGCTTTGAAATACCCACGATATATGTTTATGACCCAGAAATGTTTTACTGCAATGAAATGTAGGATCAATTACCTACAACTGTCAAATTCAAGGGAATATTTTTTTTCGACCTATTTTCGTATGCAACCGGATGTGACGTACTATGATTTGGTGGTATTACACCTAAAGAAGACTTTTTTGTTAAATAAACTGAATGTGACTTTTTTCCTTTGTTATACTGGTTATTTCAAGCATTCCTGTCAAGTTTTGTCATAATCAGTTCAATAGTTTGAGAAAAATCTAGTATAATGTAAGACGACATCTACAGCGATTCGAGCTAAATTTCTTCAAAAAATCCAAACCAAGCTGCATCATGATAGAATATAGTGTGGACCAATAAATGATCAAATATTTATCTCATCTGCCTACAAACAGTTGAATATGATACAAAAGATGACTTTAGGATGATAAATACTACCAATGGACCTCTTTGTCTTCCTTATAGGGTCTCTTTTGGTCCATTTATACCTCTCATTTCCTCAAAATTTCTACTTTATAGGCCAATAAATAAAAATTTTGGGGTAACTTTCACTCATTTATGATAGAAATGTTATAATAAATGATTAATTGAAGTATTCAAGCTGAATGAACTATCCGTATGAAAGTTTACTGTCTCCAAGGAGGTTTCAATAAGTCCTTATGTAAAACTTAAATTTACGCCGCGTTCCAGAGAGGGACATAAAAAGCTTCTCTTTTGGTGAATAATTTGTTGTTACTGCTTTAAAAATAATTTCATTTACTTAAAACTTTATATTTATTAAAGTATTTCTTAGGAAAATTTTTCTAGTATAGCAGAATATAAGAAAAAAGGAGAAAAAGCTCCCAAAAACTCTAAGTATGGCTTATTCTGTCAACTAATATTCATGGTAAAGTCCTATTTCGAGGAAATTTTCTCATAAAATGTGTTTTGGAGACTCAATCCACTCAGAATATTTCATTATTAGTAATATTTCACTTAAATAGCAAGAAATTTTAACACATGAGAGTACTCACAAGGTCAAAGGTGCATGTACAGCTTCCCATATTAGGTGTAATACCACCATTGATTTTCCCCTATTAGTCTTTGTTAAATTTGCACTTTTCCAAAAATTGTGCAGAATTTATCTTTGTTTCAAATAAAGAAATACTTGGCATGAGTAAAGTTTGATCCTGTCCAGTACTATAGAAAAAATTTCACATAACATTTCATTGCATATAAGAAAATAACCATCACTGGAAGTTAACCAATCAAATTTTCCCCCTTTTTTAACCTGTATACAAGCTTTAGTAACCATGTAACCTCAAGTTTCCAAAATATTCTATAGAAACCCCAAATAAAAAAATAATGGTGCTTTGAAATACCCACGATATATGTTTATGACCCAGAAATGTTTTACTGCAATGAAATGTAGGATCAATTACCTACAACTGTCAAATTCAAGGGAATATTTTTTTTCGACCTATTTTCGTATGCAACCGGATGTGACGTACTATGATTTGGTGGTATTACACCTAAAGAAGACTTTTTTGTTAAATAAACTGAATGTGACTTTTTTCCTTTGTTATACTGGTTATTTCAAGCATTCCTGTCAAGTTTTGTCATAATCAGTTCAATAGTTTGAGAAAAATCTAGTATAATGTAAGACGACATCTACAGCGATTCGAGCTAAATTTCTTCAAAAAATCCAAACCAAGCCGCATCATGATAGAATATAGTGTGGACCAATAAATGATCAAATATTTATCTCATCTGCCTACAAACAGTTGAATATGATACAAAAGATGACTTTAGGATGATAAATACTACCAATGGACCTCTTTGTCTTCCTTATAGGGTCTCTTTTGGTCCATTTATACCTCTCATTTCCTCAAAATTTCTACTTTATAGGCCAATAAATAAAAATTTTGGGGTAACTTTCACTCATTTATGATAGAAATGTTATAATAAATGATTAATTGAAGTATTCAAGCTGAATGAACTATCCGTATAAAAGTTTACTGTCTCCAAGGAGGTTTCAATAAGTCCTTATGTAAAACTTAAATTTACGCCGCGTTCCAGAGAGGGACATAAAAAGCTTCTCTTTTGGTGAATAATTTGTTGTTACTGCTTTAAAAATAATTTCATTTACTTAAAACTTTATATTTATTAAAGTATTTCTTAGGAAAATTTTTCTAGTATAGCAGAATATAAGAAATAAAATGCTTCGCTGGGCGCAGCTTGATACGACCGCAGAGGTCGAACCTTGAACAGTTGGGGCAAGTATGGACACAACATTCAAGCTTGATACAGCTCTGAATTTGGATTGTGATTAAATATTTGACACAGCATAGGTTTCTGACACAGAAAGAATGTTGTCTAAGAACTTGAATTTTTTTAATTTACCCTTTGGACCTTAATGTAGACCAATTTAAAAAACAGGACCCAAAATTAAAAATCTAAATACACGGTAAGATTTGGCATATCAAAGAACCCCAATAATTAAATTTTTGATGAAATCAAACAAAGTTTAATTTTGGACCCTTTTGACCTCAATATGAACCAATTTGATAGCGGGCCCACAAATAAAAAATCTAAATACATGGTAAGATTCAGCATATCAAAGAACCCCATATATTCAATTTTTGTTGAAATCAAACAAAGTTTAATTTTGGACCCCAATTTAGACCAACTTGAAAACTGGGCCAAAAATCTAAAATCTAAATACATGTTTAGATTCAGCATATCAAAGAACCCCATATATTCAATTTTTGTTGAAATCAAACAAAGTTTAATTTTGGACCCCAACTTGGACCAACTTGAAAACTGGGCCCATAATCAAAAATCTAAACACATGTTTAGATTCGGCATATCAAAGAACCCCAAGAATTCAATTTTTGTTAAAATCAAACTAAGTTTAATTTTGGACCCTTTGGACCTTAATGTAGACCAATTTAAAAACGGGACCCAAAATTAAAAATCTAAATACACGGTTAGATTTGGCATATCAAAGAACCCCAATAATTCAATTTTAGATGAAATCAAACAAAGTTTAATTTTGGACCCTTTTGACCTCAATATGAACCAATTTGATAGCGGGTCCACAAATAAAAAATCTAAATACATGGTTAGATTCAGTATATCAAAGAACCACAAGAATTCAATTTTTGATGAAATCAAACAAAGTTTAATTTTGGACCCTTTTGACCTCAATGTGGACAAAGTTGATAACGGGGCCCAAAAATCAAAAATCTAAATACATGGTTAGATTCAGCATATCAAAGAACCCCATATATTCAATTTTTGTTGAAATCAAACAAAGTTTAATTTTGGACCCCGATTTGGACCAACTTGAAAACTGGGCCCATAATCAAAAATCTAAATACATGTTTAGATTCAGCATATCAAAGTACCCTAAAAATTCAATTTTTGTTAAAATCAAACTAAGTTTAATTTTGGACCCTTTTGACCTTAATGTAGACCAATTTGAAAACGGAACCAAAAATTAAGAATCTAAATACACGGTTAGATTCGGCATATCAAAGAACCCCAATAATTCAATTTTTGATGAAATCAAACAAAGTTAAATTTTGGACCCTTTGGACCTCAATGTGGACCAATTTAAAAACGGGGCCCAAAATCCAAAAACTTAATACACGGTTAGATTCAGCATATTAAAGAACCCCAAGAATTCAAGAATAAAACCCCATTGAAATTGATCAAGAAATAAGCAATTTATACAAAGTATCTTCTTTTGCACAATACTGTGCAATTGAATATTTCTTGCTATTGTGCAATACTGTACAATTGACAATTTCTTGCTATTGCGCAATATTGTGCTATTGGATATTTCTTGCTATTGCGCAATACTGTGCAATTGAAGATTTCTTGCTATTGCGCAATACTGTGCAATTGAAGATTTCTTGCAATTGTGCAATACTGTGCAATTGAAAATTTCTTGCTATTGCACAATACTTATTATATAATAATTTACACATTCTGTTTGGTGTGTATCTCCTACCATATCATTATTATTTGCTTTTAAATATTAATCAGAAATAACCAACTTAAAATGGAAAATTTTAAAAGAAAAAAAAAAGGAAAAAAAGAAAAAAAAAGAAAAAAAAAATCCCCCCCCCCCAAATTTTTTGAACCCCCTTATGATTCATCACCCCCAAACTCAATCCCAGCCTTCCCTTTGTGGTATGGTACCTTGCAGTACAATTTCAGAGAGATCCATACACTTGAACACAAGTTATTGTCTGGAAACTAGAAAAATGCTTATTTTTGGCCCCTTTTTGGCCCCCAATTCCTAAACGTTTCTGGCAACTACCCCCAAACTCAATTCCAGCTTTCCCTTTGTGATATGGAACCTTGTAGTACAATTTCAGAAATATCCAAACACTTACACACAAGTTATTGTCATGAAACTAGAAAAATGCTTGTTTTTTGCCCCTTTTTTGGCCCCTAATTCCTAAAATTTTGAGGCAATTACCCCCAAAATCAATTACAGCCTTCCCTTTGTGATATGGAACCTTGTGGTACAATGTCAGAGAGATCCATACACTTACACACAAGTTATTGTCTGGAAGTTACAAAAATGCTTATTTTTGGCCCCTAATTCCTTAACTGTTGGTACCATAACCCCCAAAATCAATCCCCACCTTCCTTTCGTGGTATTGAACCTTATGGTAAAATTTCATGGAGATCCATTCACTTAAACTAAAGTTAGAGTGCGAAAACCAATGTGTCTTCGGACGACGCCGGACGACGCCAGACGACGACGACGCCAACGTCATACCAATATACGACCAAAAAATTTTCAATTTTTGCGGTCGTATAAAAAGGAGAAAAAGCTCCCAAAAACTCTAAGTATGGCTTATTCTGTCAACTAATATTCATGGTAAAGTCCTATTTCGAGGAAATTTTCTCATAAAATGTGTTTTGGAGACTCAATCCACTCAGAATATTTCATTATTAGTAATATTTCACTTAAATAGCAAGAAATTTTAACACATGAGAGTACTCACAAGGTCAAAGGTGCATGTACAGCTTCCCATATTAGGTGTAATACCACCATTGATTTTCCCCTATTAGTCTTTGTTAAATTTGCACTTTTCCAAAAATTGTGCAGAATTTATCTTTGTTTCAAATAAAGAAATACTTGGCATGAGTAAAGTTTGATCCTGTCCAGTACTATAGAAAAAATTTCACATAACATTTCATTGCATATAAGAAAATAACCATCACTGGAAGTTAACCAATCAAATTTTCCCCCTTTTTTAACCTGTATACAAGCTTTAGTAACCATGTAACCTCAAGTTTCCAAAATATTCTATAGAAACCCCAAATAAAAAAATAATGGTGCTTTGAAATACCCACGATATATGTTTATGACCCAGAAATGTTTTACTGCAATGAAATGTAGGATCAATTACCTACAACTGTCAAATTCAAGGGAATATTTTTTTTCGACCTATTTTCGTATGCAACCGGATGTGACGTACTATGATTTGGTGGTATTACACCTAAAGAAGACTTTTTTGTTAAATAAACTGAATGTGACTTTTTTCCTTTGTTATACTGGTTATTTCAAGCATTCCTGTCAAGTTTTGTCATAATCAGTTCAATAGTTTGAGAAAAATCTAGTATAATGTAAGACGACATCTACAGCGATTCGAGCTAAATTTCTTCAAAAAATCCAAACCAAGCCGCATCATGATAGAATATAGTGTGGACCAATAAATGATCAAATATTTATCTCATCTGCCTACAAACAGTTGAATATGATACAAAAGATGACTTTAGGATGATAAATACTACCAATGGACCTCTTTGTCTTCCTTATAGGGTCTCTTTTGGTCCATTTATACCTCTCATTTCCTCAAAATTTCTACTTTATAGGCCAATAAATAAAAATTTTGGGGTAACTTTCACTCATTTATGATAGAAATGTTATAATAAATGATTAATTGAAGTATTCAAGCTGAATGAACTATCCGTATAAAAGTTTACTGTCTCCAAGGAGGTTTCAATAAGTCCTTATGTAAAACTTAAATTTACGCCGCGTTCCAGAGAGGGACATAAAAAGCTTCTCTTTTGGTGAATAATTTGTTGTTACTGCTTTAAAAATAATTTCATTTACTTAAAACTTTATATTTATTAAAGTATTTCTTAGGAAAATTTTTCTAGTATAGCAGAATATAAGAAATAAAATGCTTCGCTGGGCGCAGCTTGATACGACCGCAGAGGTCGAACCTTGAACAGTTGGGGCAAGTATGGACACAACATTCAAGCTTGATACAGCTCTGAATTTGGATTGTGATTAAATATTTGACACAGCATAGGTTTCTGACACAGAAAGAATGTTGTCTAAGAACTTGAATTTTTTTAATTTACCCTTTGGACCTTAATGTAGACCAATTTAAAAAACAGGACCCAAAATTAAAAATCTAAATACACGGTAAGATTTGGCATATCAAAGAACCCCAATAATTAAATTTTTGATGAAATCAAACAAAGTTTAATTTTGGACCCTTTTGACCTCAATATGAACCAATTTGATAGCGGGCCCACAAATAAAAAATCTAAATACATGGTAAGATTCAGCATATCAAAGAACCCCATATATTCAATTTTTGTTGAAATCAAACAAAGTTTAATTTTGGACCCCAATTTAGACCAACTTGAAAACTGGGCCAAAAATCTAAAATCTAAATACATGTTTAGATTCAGCATATCAAAGAACCCCATATATTCAATTTTTGTTGAAATCAAACAAAGTTTAATTTTGGACCCCAACTTGGACCAACTTGAAAACTGGGCCCATAATCAAAAATCTAAACACATGTTTAGATTTGGCATATCAAAGAACCCCAAGAATTCAATTTTTGTTAAAATCAAACTAAGTTTAATTTTGGACCCTTTGGACCTTAATGTAGACCAATTTAAAAACGGGACCCAAAATTAAAAATCTAAATACACGGTTAGATTTGGCATATCAAAGAACCCCAATAATTCAATTTTAGATGAAATCAAACAAAGTTTAATTTTGGACCCTTTTGACCTCAATATGAACCAATTTGATAGGGGGTCCACAAATAAAAAATCTAAATACATGGTTAGATTCAGTATATCAAAGAACCCCAAGAATTCAATTTTTGATGAAATCAAACAAAGTTTAATTTTGGACCCTTTTGACCTCAATGTGGACAAAGTTGATAACGGGGCCCAAAAATCAAAAATCTAAATACATGGTTAGATTCAGCATATCAAAGAACCCCATATATTCAATTTTTGTTGAAATCAAACAAAGTTTAATTTTGGACCCCGATTTGGACCAACTTGAAAACTGGGCCCATAATCAAAAATCTAAATACATGTTTAGATTCAGCATATCAAAGTACCCTAAAAATTCAATTTTTGTTAAAATCAAACTAAGTTTAATTTTGGACCCTTTTGACCTTAATGTAGACCAATTTGAAAACGGAACCAAAAATTAAGAATCTAAATACACGGTTAGATTCGGCATATCAAAGAACCCCAATAATTCAATTTTTGATGAAATCAAACAAAGTTGAATTTTGGACCCTTTGGACCTCAATGTGGACCAATTTAAAAACGGGGCCCAAAATCCAAAAACTTAATACACGGTTAGATTCAGCATATTAAAGAACCCCAAGAATTCAAGAATAAAACCCCATTGAAATTGATCAAGAAATAAGCAATTTATACAAAGTATCTTCTTTTGCACAATACTGTGCAATTGAATATTTCTTGCTATTGTGCAATACTGTACAATTGACAATTTCTTGCTATTGCGCAATATTGTGCTATTGGATATTTCTTGCTATTGCGCAATACTGTGCAATTGAAGATTTCTTGCTATTGCGCAATACTGTGCAATTGAAGATTTCTTGCAATTGTGCAATACTGTGCAATTGAAAATTTCTTGCTATTGCACAATACTTATTATATAATAATTTACACATTCTGTTTGGTGTGTATCTCCTACCATATCATTATTATTTGCTTTTAAATATTAATCAGAAATAACCAACTTAAAATGGAAAATTTTAAAAGAAAAAAAAAAGGAAAAAAAGAAAAAAAAAGAAAAAAAAAATCCCCCCCCCCCAAATTTTTTGAACCCCCTTATGATTCATCACCCCCAAACTCAATCCCAGCCTTCCCTTTGTGGTATGGTACCTTGCAGTACAATTTCAGAGAGATCCATACACTTGAACACAAGTTATTGTCTGGAAACTAGAAAAATGCTTATTTTTGGCCCCTTTTTGGCCCCCAATTCCTAAACGTTTCTGGCAACTACCCCCAAACTCAATTCCAGCTTTCCCTTTGTGATATGGAACCTTGTAGTACAATTTCAGAAATATCCAAACACTTACACACAAGTTATTGTCATGAAACTAGAAAAATGCTTGTTTTTTGCCCCTTTTTTGGCCCCTAATTCCTAAAATTTTGAGGCAATTACCCCCAAAATCAATTACAGCCTTCCCTTTGTGATATGGAACCTTGTGGTACAATGTCAGAGAGATCCATACACTTACACACAAGTTATTGTCTGGAAGTTACAAAAATGCTTATTTTTGGCCCCTTTTTGGCCCCTAATTCCTTAACTGTTGGTACCATAACCCCCAAAATCAATCCCCACCTTCCTTTCGTGGTATTGAACCTTATGGTAAAATTTCATGGAGATCCATTCACTTAAACTAAAGTTAGAGTGCGAAAACCAATGTGTCTTCGGACGACGCCGGACGACGACGACGACGACGCCAACGTCATACCAATATACGACCAAAAAATTTTCAATTTTTGCGGTCGTATAAAAAGGAGAAAAAGCTCCCAAAAACTCTAAGTATGGCTTATTCTGTCAACTAATATTCATGGTAAAGTCCTATTTCGAGGAAATTTTCTCATAAAATGTGTTTTGGAGACTCAATCCACTCAGAATATTTCATTATTAGTAATATTTCACTTAAATAGCAAGAAATTTTAACACATGAGAGTACTCACAAGGTCAAAGGTGCATGTACAGCTTCCCATATTAGGTGTAATACCACCATTGATTTTCCCCTATTAGTCTTTGTTAAATTTGCACTTTTCCAAAAATTGTGCAGAATTTATCTTTGTTTCAAATAAAGAAATACTTGGCATGAGTAAAGTTTGATCCTGTCCAGTACTATAGAAAAAATTTCACATAACATTTCATTGCATATAAGAAAATAACCATCACTGGAAGTTAACCAATCAAATTTTCCCCCTTTTTTAACCTGTATACAAGCTTTAGTAACCATGTAACCTCAAGTTTCCAAAATATTCTATAGAAACCCCAAATAAAAAAATAATGGTGCTTTGAAATACCCACGATATATGTTTATGACCCAGAAATGTTTTACTGCAATGAAATGTAGGATCAATTACCTACAACTGTCAAATTCAAGGGAATATTTTTTTTCGACCTATTTTCGTATGCAACCGGATGTGACGTACTATGATTTGGTGGTATTACACCTTCAGCATATCAAAGAACCCCAAGAATTCAATTTTTGATGAAATCAAACAAAGTTTAATTTTGGACCCTTTTGACCTCAATGTGGACAAAGTTGATAACGGGGCCCAAAAAATCAAAAATCTAAATACATGGTTAGATTCAGCATATCAAAGAACCCCATATATTCAATTTTTGTTGAAATCAAACAAAGTTTAATTTTGGACCCCGATTTGGACCAACTTGAAAACTGGGCCCATAATCAAAAATCTAAATACATGTTTAGATTCAGCATATCAAAGAACCCTAAGAATTCAATTTTTGTTAAAATCAAACTAAGTTTAATTTTGGACCCTTTGGACCTTAATGTAGACCAATTTGAAAACGGAACCAAAAATTAAGAATCTAAATACATGGTTAGATTCAGCATATCAAAGAACCCCATATCTTCAATTTTTGATGAAATCAAACAAAGTTTAATTTTGGACCCTTTGGACCTCAATGTGGACGAATTTAAAAATGGGGCCCAAAATCCAAAAACTAAATACACGGTTAGATTCAGCATATTAAAGAACCCCAAGAATTCAAGAATAAAACCCCATTGAAATTGGTCAAGAAATAAGCAATTTATATGAAGTATCTTCTTTTGCACAATACTGTGCAATTAAATATTTCTTGCTATTGCGCAATACTGTACAATTGACAATTTCTTGCTATTGCGCAATATTGTGCTATTAGATATTTCTTGCTATTGTGCAATACTGTGCAATTGAAGATTTCTTGCTATTGCGCAATACTGTGCAATTGAAGATTTCTTGCTATTGTGCAATACTGTGCAATTGAAAATTTCTTGCTATTGCACAATACTTATTATATAATAATTTACACATCCTGTTTGGTGTGTATCTCCTACCATATCATTATTATTTGCTTTTAAATATAAATCAGAAATAACCAACTTAAAATGGAAAATTTTAAAAGAAAAAAAAAAAGGAAAAAAAGAAAGAAAAAAAAAATCCCCCCCCCAATTTTTTGAACCCCCTTATGATTTATCACCCCCATACTCAATCCCAGCCTTCCCTTTGTGGTATGGTACCTTGCAGTACAATTTCAGAGAGATCCATACACTTGAACACAAGTTATTGTCTGGAAACTAGAAAAATGCTTATTTTTGGCCCCTTTTTGGCCCCAAATTCCTAAACGTTTATGGCAATTACCCCCAAACTCAAACCCAGCTTTCCCTTTGTGATATGGAACCTTATAGTACAATTTCAGAAAGATCCATACACTTACACACAAGTTATTGTCCTGAAACTAGAAAAATGCTTGTTTTTTGCCCCTTTTGGGCCCCTAATTCCTAAAATATTGAGCAATTACCCCCATCATCATCCCAGCCTTCCCTTTGTGGTATGGTACCTTGCAGTACAATTTCAGAGAGATCCATACACTTGAACACAAGTTATTGTCTGGAAACTAGAAAAAAATGCTTATTTTTGGCCCCTTTTTGGCCCCCAATTCCTAAACGTTTTGGCAATTACCCCCAAACTCAATTCCAGCTTTCCCTTTGTGATATGGAACCTTGTAGTACAATTTCAGAAAGATCCATACACTTACACACAAGTTATTGTCATGAAACTAGAAAAATGCTTGTTTTTTGCCCCTTTTTTGGCCCCTAATTCCTAAAATTTTGAGGCAATTACCCCCAAAATCAATCCCAGCATTCCTTTTGTGATATGGAACTTTGTGGTACAATGTCAGAGAGATCCATACACTAACACACAAGTTAAGTCTGGAAGTTACAAAAATGCTTATTTTTGGCCCCTTTTTGGCCCCTTATTCCTTTACTGTTGGTACCATAACCCCCAAAATCAATCCCAACCTTCCTTTTGTGGTATTGAACCTTGTGGTAAAATTTCATAGAGATCAATTCACTTAAACTAAAGTTAGAGTGCGAAAACCAATGTGTCTTCGGAGGACGCCGGACGACGACGAGGACGCCAACGTCATACCAATATACGACCACAAAATTTTTTTGCGGTCGTATAAAAACTAATGAATACTGTAAATTCCTAAATTATTGCGAGGTTTTTATTAATGAGAATAATTCGACTCCTTGAGTATTGCAATAATAAGAACTTGCATTCTAATATCTGATACATATATCTGTATGTAGCTTTTTCTAAAATCGCAATAATTAAAATTGCATTTTTGTTTATTCTTCAAAAATGCACACAATAATTTGATTTTACAGCAGGTGACAAATCAACAACTGCATTGGACGTGCAAAAACATTTGACCTACGCATGCTTAGTGTTAATTGAACAAGCATCTGTTAGTATTGCCTGGAAATACATAGTCCCCTACCGGTTAAAAATTCATTGTACTGGAACAAAATGCTAACTTGATCTATAACTTGTCATGGTGTAAACTATATAACAAATATCAAGTCAATATCTTCAAGCATGACGAAGAAAAATGTGGAAAAACTGATTATTTGAGTGGATTTTCTAAGTCCAAGGACCATAACTCTGCACAAAATCATCAGACCGAAACAAAATTCCAACTTGATCTGTAACTCAAGTCAATATCTTCAAGCATGAAGAAAAAAAGTGTGGAAAACTGATTATTTGAGTGAATTTTCTAGACCACAACTCTGCACAAAATCATCAGACCGGAACATAATTTGAATTTGATCTGTAACTTGTCATGATAAAAGTATATACCAAATTACAAGTCAATATCTTCAAGCACGAAGAAAAAAAGTGTGGAAAACTGATTTGCCGCACTGACAGATGGACAGATGGACAGACAGACAGACAGACAGAGTGCAAACCTAAAGTCCCCTTCGACTTCGTCGGTAGGGGACTAATAAATGGGGAATGTGTCCATGGGATACAGATGATGCCCCCGCTTGCATATCATAAAAAGTTATAAAGGGACATAACTGAAGAATGGTAGAAGTGAGGCTACCAAAATTTGTACTTGATCTGAGTTTTGTGGTAATAAGTATTGTGTATAAGTTTCATAACATTTGGTTGAGGCAAACTTAAGTTAGAGAACTGAAACGAAAAATTCTGCAATTTTTCCATTTGTAAAGGGGCATAACTCTAGAAATAGTAAAAGTTATTCCACCAAAATTCATACTTGATCTGTATTTTGTGGTAATAAGCATTGTGTATAAGTTTCATAACATTTGGTTGAGGTAAACTTAAGTTGGAGAACGGAAACAAAAAATTCAGCAATTTTTCCATTTGTAAACGGGTATAACTCTGGAACGGTTAAAGTGACACCACCAAAATTCAAACTTGTTCAGTATTTTGTGGTAATATGCATTTTGCTTAAGTTTTATAACATTTGGTTGGGGCAAACTATCAGCAATTTTTCCATTTGTAAAGGGGTATAACTCTATAACAGTTAAAGTGACGCCACCAAAATTCAAACTTGATCTGTGTTTTGTGGTAATAAGCATTGTGTACAAGTTTCATAACATTTTGGTTTAGGCAAACTAAAGTTAGAGAACGGAAACCAACTTTGGACGTACGGACACAGTCAGGCATATTAAGGATAGGAACATGTTCATGTGAAATAAATATGAGCTCTACTTTGTACAAACCCAAATTTGTAGTGGAATTTTAAACATGTAATTTCAAAAGATAAATATTAGTCAATGCAGTCTGCAAGGAATTTGTTAACACACATAAAAACATTATTCTGACCTCAAGCCTAGGCAATCTTTGCTCTAACTTTAAGAAAATTGAAGAATCAACAAAAACCTATCACTCATAAAGTCATTGAAGGATGTTATAATTTAACTATTACTTAACTAAGAGTGGAGAAATATTTTAACTCATCAGCAAAAGAGGTAAAATTGGCTTCTCCCATATTTTTTCAGTCTCTTTAGAGTAAATTATTATGATCGTATCTCTTCTTTGATATTCAATTTGATGTATTAATACTAAAAAACACACAAAAAAATATGCACCACTAGATGTGATATTATTTGCTCACCTGTGAATCTTCTCTTTCTGAACCAGGTGCTCTTGGATAAAACCCTAGTCCTAGTCCAGAATCCGATGTTATGCTGCTAGATGTACTACTAGATCTACCTTTACCTATAGGTTCAGGTAATGGACTACTTGTATGGCTAGGTATACTGCTAGATATACTACTGTTATTCTGAAAACATATAATGTAATCAAAGTATAAGTAATGACTGATATGTCTGATATATTAATTATTGTTTTACTTTTGTCAGCAACTGAAGGAAATACTCTTAACTTCGGTTTTCATAATTTCACTTTCCAACTCATTGGAAAAAGGTAAATGATATTATATTTACCCTTTCCCATTGATATTTTTTGTTCAAGCTTTTTTAAAGTTATTGAGTATTGTGAAAAATCCTTCCCAATGGAGTTTGAACTTTAGAACTAAAACCCTTCAACACATGTTGATATTCAAATCTTTGTCAGTTTGTAGTTTCAAAAAATACAATCCCACTCCCTCTTGTGCACTGCATGTCTTTGAAAAATTAAACTACACCTCCAAATGTTTGAAATCCTTCGAGAGTTTTTAGGAAAGTAATAGTTTATTAGAAAATGTACATTTTGAACCTAATAACATGTACTTTCTTGCTGATGTGATAAAAAGCTGTTGGAGTTTATAGTAGCACCAACCAATCACCTAAACAAAATATCTTTCCTACATTTGACATTGCATTGAGAGAATCTCAAAAGAATTAACTTTGCCACATATAATTAGCTGATGAAAAAAATCAGTTTTATGACAACTTTTATCATTTACATTGTAATTAATAAATGCATTTTACTGCTTTAAACTTACACAATTATATGGAACACTGTTCGCTCTTTCCTTTCCAATAGGATCTGGAAATTTCCACTGGCTTGAACCATTGAGATCCTATATAAAGAAGTAAATATTCTTCAGTGGCCTTTATGTAACTTTTTAAATCAATCCCATATCAAATCTTATTTTATATCAATTTGGATATAATTTAATTTTTTGTCCTAGTTGATGAGATCATCAACAACAGTTCTTAAAGAGAATCATAAATGTACAATTTACCTTTATTGGTCTTTACATGATTTTATAATTGAAACTTTACCAATAGCAAAAGAAAATATATAATAAACTGCTTCGCCGAGCGCAGCTGGATATGACCGCAGAGGTCCAACCCTGAACAGTTGGGGCAAAAATGGACACAATTTTCAAGCTTGATACAGGTCTGAATTTGGATTGTAATTAAATATTTGACATATTATGGGTTTCTGAATAAATGTAGTCAAAGAACTTAAAATTGGTTATATGAATTGAATTCATATACAATTAAAGATTTCTTGCCGTTGTGCAATACTTAGAAAATCTGTTGTCAGACTATAAACAAATAAAGTCATATTTGAAATTTATGGAAATCAATAGGGAGATTACATCAATAGCTATATATAATTCACCAAAGTTTCATGAGAACTGCTGAAAGCATTTTTGAGTTATTGTCCAAAAACTGGAAAATCCCCCCTTTTTTAATGAATAAAACCCCACAACTCAGAAATGTAAAATCTAAAATTTATAAAATTCTAAAAGGAGCTTACATCAACAGATATAAACAATTCAACAAAGTTTCATGAGAACTGCTGAAAGCATTTTTTAGTCATTGTCCGAAAACTGGAAAATCACCCTTTTTTTATGAATAAAACCCTGTAACTCGGAAACGTTAAATCTAAAATTTATAAAAATCCAAAAGGGAGCTCATGTAAATAGATATAAACAATTCACCAAAATTTCTTGCAAGTTGGTGAAAGGATTCTTGAGTCATTGTCAGAAAACTGGAAAATCCCCCCTTTTTTAATGAATAAAACCCCAAAACTCTGAAACGGTAAATCTGAAATTTATAAAAAACGAAAGGGAGCTCACGTCAATAGATATCAACAATTCACCAAAGTTTCATGCATATTGGTTAAAGCTTTTTTGAGTAAATGTCCGACATGTTGACAACGGACGGACAGACGGTCAACGGTATACCATAATATGTCCCGTAAACGGTCGTATAAAAAGGAAAATTGAATATTATTGATAACAAGCATTCTGAGAGTATTGCATGGCAATACATAGTCCCCTACCTGGTAAAAATTCATTATACTGGAACAAAATGCTAAACTTGTTCTATAACTTGTCATGGTGTAAACAAAAAGAAAATATCAAGTCATTATCTTCAAGCATGACTAAAAACAGTGTGGAAAACTGAATATATGAGTGAATTTTTTCAAGTCCAAGGACCATAACTCTGCACAAAATTATCAGACTGAAACAAAAATTTGAACTTGATCTGTAACTTGTCATGATAAAACTATATACCAATTGTCAATCAATATCGTCAAGCATGATGAAAAAAAGTGTGGAAAACTTATAACACTCTGACATTAGATATGATTAATAGTTCTCTAAAATTAGATATGATGTAATACAATGTATATCTATTTTCAAATTACAATCAAATATAATTAATAGTTCCAAATATTTTTTCTTTCATTTGTCACAAACTAATATAGGTTTGTAACTTATCTATAAAATGTCAACAGCTTTTATCTACACAATGTAATGTAATGAAATTAATAAAAATAGATTATTATCTAATTAAAGGATTTCACTTAATAAAAATAAAATATATATATATATATATACATGTGGCATTCAGAAAATTAGTTTATACAAAATAACATATAAACCTGCCACAAAATTCCTCAAACAATTTACCAAATAATGTCTTTTAAAAAATGAGTTATCTCCCTTTGCACAGATATATGGTTTAACATAGTACTCTTAACATTAGTTATGGAGTTTTTTTATGGACTATAACTCTGGACTAAATCATCAGACCGGAACAAAATTCGAACTTGATCTATAACTTGTCATGATAAAACTATATACCAAATATCAAATCAATATCTTCAAGAATGAAGAAAAAAAGTGTGGAAAACTGAGTTGCCAGACTGACGGATGGACAGACGGACAAAGTGCAAACCTAAAGTCCCCTTCGACTTCGTCGGTAGGGGACTAAAAATAAAAGTTCAATCCGCATTCACATTAAACACTATGTAAACTTACCACTTTTTGATTTATTTGATTTCCCTCTGAGATAACACCATTACTACTTGTAGTTACTATGGTAATTGGGTTAATATTACTAATGGTAGGGGGAGGTAACACTGTCGAGACAAATTCAGCTAACGAATTCTCATTACTTGAACCTACATCTCTAGCAGTTGTAATTTCATCTGAAAAAAAAATATTTTAATACTTAAACCAAACAAAAGGTCAGACAATAACTTGTAAAAGCAAACAATACCAATTCAGTAATACAATTTAAGCTATATTCATATACATAAGATCAGAACAAAAGTTAAGAACTTGATTGAACTGTGAACTATTGCACACTAATGATATCCCTGCTTGAGGTATTCCGTTAACAGGAAGTTCATAAGGGATGGATGTGAAAATGTAGTTCCTTAGTGAAATGCAATCAAAATATAATGGGACCAACAGATGAAAGGGCAGAGGTAAACCTCCTCAACAGATGGGATATAAATTGGGAAGTCACAAACTATAATTTAAATCCCCCCACTAGATTAACTAAAATCTATTTTGATTTTATAACTGGTATCACTAGTGCCAGGATATAAATGATGGTCATTTTATGTCCCTTTATGTAATTCTAAAAATAAAATTGACTTAATCAGTGGAAATATTTAACCAATTCAATTGGCGAGTCAAAATAAAAGGTTGAACAATATGAATTGTTTGAAATACAAAATCAAAAGATGTTCTTTTAATATGTCATCTTCACGTTCAATATGGGAAAACATGTTAATATGGAAGCTTTTTTAGGCTCCTGTTTTTTTTGTTGGCATAATTGGAGTAATGTTATATAGAAAAGTTTATCTGTTAAAAAATTTCAATGCACTTTTGAAGTGGTGAGGCCATATTCCACGCTGCTTCTGGTGAGTCCATAGTACAATAACACATAGTTCAGAACTGAGATGTATGATTTGGCTAATTAGGCTTCCTTGAATGGAATGATCAAAGTGAAAGGAATTTAAACACTGGAATCCTTTCTGGTGACTGGATAAGTTGGGTTAAAAGTACATAATAATGGAGAATGTGTCCATGGGACACAGATGATTCCCCTGCTTGCATATAACATTATATAGGGACATAACTACAGAATTGGAAATTGACACTACCCAAATTTAAACTTGATCTGTATTTTGAGGTAATAAGCATTGTGTATAAGTTTCATAACATTTGTTTGAGGCAAACTCAAGTCAGAGAATGGTAACAATAAAATTCAGCAATTTTTCCATTTGCAAAGGGGCATAGCTCTAGAATGTTAAAAGAGATGCCACCCAACTACAAATTAAATCTGTGTTTTGTGGTAATAAGCATTGTGTATAAGTTTCATTACATTTGGTTGAGGCAAACGCAAGTTAGAGAACGGAAACTAATTTTGGGACATAAGTACGAACGGACAAGGGCATAAAAAACACAAATCTTCTGTACACCTCTCAATAAAATATAGTAGTATTATAGGAAGTGTTGAAAAGTATTTTGAATTTTATCACAATGATAAATACTCTGAATGCATAACAATGGAAATGTACATATACAAATGCACCAGGTTTGTATGTAATAAATATAACGCAATGTTTTTGACCACAATTTTTTTTCAAGTTTTACAACACCAGTTAACATTTTCTCCTGATGACAATAAATCATCCCATTATGTATCAAATCATAGCAAATTAAAAGTTAACTATCCCCCTCATAAACTGATAACAATCCCCCTCATAAACTGATAACAATCCCCCTCATAAACTGATAACAATCCCCCTCATAAACTGATAACCTGATAACAATCCCTCTCATAAACTGATAACAATCCCCCTCATAAACTGATAACAATCCCCCTCATAAACTGATAACAATCCCCCTCATAAACTGATGCCCTTATTCACCTAAATTGTTTACAATGTTTTCAGTATGTTACATAATGTTAATTTACAATTTAAATGCATTGCTTGGCAATTATTTGATTAACTGGCTTCTATATAAACTTTATTGCTTGTAAACATGTGTTCAGGTAAACAAATTTCCTTGTGTTTTATCCTATTAGTATTAGCCAGTCTATTCATGCATAATTCATTTTTTTATTTTTTCAGGTTCCAGACTAAGCTAGTATAATGAAGCAAGGGTTCATGAAATGGTGTGTCCAGGAAGAAAACCATGCCTCCGGTACTGAGAAACATCTACATTCACACAGGGGACAACTCGTCACATCTTTTTTTATCTAAATAGACCATCCAAGAGAGACATGCATGTTTCAGACAGCCTGAATGATAATGCAAAATATAATTTTTTTATTTCCATTGTTCTTTATAATTGTCAAAAGGTATTTATTTTCAAACATGTAATTACAAGTCTTGAATTGAAAGAACAAGTATAAATACAAGTTCAGTTTATTCCACATTTAAACTTACTTATAAATCACTAGAAAATTAGATTGGAAGTAATTGTATTAACATCACAATACTTGAAAGGTCATAATAACCATTATTAAACAACTTCCTGAATAAACAATAAAGTCACATATAAATAATACAGATAACCATTAATTCTGCATTATTTAAAATCATGCTCCAAACAATTGCAACATATGTCTGACAAAGCCTTCTTCTGTCAGAGCTATGACAATTATATACAATGGCTTTAAAACAATGAAATGAGTGTAAAATATTGATAGTGACATTTTCTGTCCTGGTCTTATTTGCATTCTATTTAGTCTACAGTGAAAAGGTGTTCTCTGTCAACTGATTACATCCAGATGCTAAATTTTGTAAATAATGTTAATTTCTATCAATTTTTTTTGTATAATACATACACATATTTCAAATTTATACATTACTCTTTGGCATTTACAAGATAACTAACTTTAGGTAAATACCATGTATGCACAATAACAAGTAATCTCCAGTATCCTGAAGTTTTGATGTACAACTGAAGAAGAGAATAAGTAGGACCTGATGCCTGAAAGTTTCTTTTAGGGTACCTGAAAACTAAATTCTTAAAGGCATATATCTATACTTACTTTCTACATGGGCAAAGGCACAGAAAGGTCCTCTAGGACAGTGGCTGGTTTGTACCATATCATTACATTTTGTTGATTTATAAATCTGAAATAGACATATTAGTATTCTTGTACAAAAATGTACACTGTACCTAGTTTGCTTAGCTAATATTTACCAACTTTTAAATGATTCCTTTCAAACATTTCCAACTCATTTTTCCTCAGTTAAATCCTAGTGAACAAATGTGCAAATATTGTTAACTTTTGAAAAATGTTTCGACCAATGATTAGCTCTCTGATTCTTGACCAACAGAGGCAAAGAAACCAAAAGATATATGCAATTAAATTTTTTTTTAAATAAATTAAGTCAGTTTCTTAAATAAATGGGGAGTGTACATGTGTCAATGTCCATGATGCCCCTGCTTGCATATAACATTACAAAGGGACATAGCTCTAGAACGGTAAAAGTGATACCACCCAAATTCAAACTTGACATGTGTTTTGTGGTAATAAGCATGATGTATAAGTTTCATAACATTTGTCTGGGGCAAACTAAAATTAAGAGAATGGAAACTAATTTCGGGACGTACGGACAAGGGTAAAACTTAATGCCCTATCTACCACAGCAGGGCGTATAAAAATCAAGATTTTTTAAAAGCTAAATCCATTTCTTATTAGCATTAATAACAACAAACATGTAGAATTGCATTGCTGAAAATAAAATATGGTTCATCTGTATCTAGCATTCTCTGTATTATGTGGGGTGTACTTACTCCTTAATTTTTTTTTTATACTTTTACTGTCGTGTTCTCTCTGGGACCTTATGATTTATTTTAACCATGGCTTTTTTAACAGATTTTTTAATAGAATGTTTTATAGATGGGGTGCTATAATTTTAGGGAAACAATGCTAATTCAAATCCCATGGTGCTTTTTGAAAATACTATGGAGCACACTGCAATTTGATGTTGATCTTATATCTCTTTTTTTACACAGTGCAATTTTTACCTCTGGGTGAAACTGTTGTTCTGTACGTGTATGACAATATGCACAGTTATCTCCATTTTCACATTGTGTTGGATCACTCCAATCATCTCCATGTTTAACATTAGGGCAAGGTGTAGACCTGCAAAACAATTAATTATGACTACTTATATAGTCTATCATTTACTATGGATTAATTCATTATGATTTTCCTGGCCAGTGATTTGTTGCAAAATGTTGTCTTTTTAATCAATAAAAAATCTGTATGCATTTTTGCTTAAATACATGATTTTTATTTGTATAAACTTTTATTCTCATCTCCACATAAAAAGGCACATCCAAACCTGACATAACTATAAATTTGTATTATGTACATGTAAACAAGTGTATTTTGGAATTCCCACAAAAGTTATAAGTAGTATAAATTTAAACTGCTTCAGTCTTAAGATCATCAAGTGATCAAATATATAAAATGATCCTTGTTAATCACCTGACATTATTTCACCACTCAAAATAATAAAATAAATCAATATTCATTTTCACAGCATACGTTTCTTTAATTTTCAACATATTTTGTGAGGATTTCCAAAGTTACATGAACAGACAACATAAATGCACCAATATATATCTAGAATATTTTGTATTTGCAAAAGAAAGTTTTAAAGTTTCCCAAATGCAATACAACATGAAAAGATTTTCAACATTTTACCACAGGTTTCTCAGAACTGACATTACCACAAAGCATAGCCAAAAAGTTACTTTATACAAATGTTGGTTGGTTTCTTAATAGCACTGTACTATATAACAAGACATAAACTAAGAGATTGCTAGCAATGCTCAAAGTCATTCCCCATGCCCTCACTTTTAGCAATGGAAAGTTCATGATTTGCTACAGGGAAACCGCCAAAATAATATTATTTCTAATAAAAAACTAAATACAAAGTACACACTGGCATTATACACGTTATATGGTTAAGATTCTGAGACAAAGTTTCCAAAAATTGTGATCAGGGTTTTAAGAAAAGTGGATACAAATATATGTACAATAGTGTGCAAAAATGTCCAAGTGGATTATACATGTATGCTGAAGTATACCCCTAAAAAGCATTCAGATGAAGAAAAAAAACGACAGGAAGTGCTAAAGTACATGTACATTATGCAATGAATATTCTGTGAAAGTCTCACAAAATTTTGTCAAGCAGTTCAAAAGAAGAAACAGATAAAAAAAAGTGGCAGGGAAGGATGATGATTGGCTGAACGAACAGACTCGCCTTATATACCACCTCATTGTAAAAGCAGCAGTATAATAACAAACATTTGAAGGCAAAAATTAATTATTAAAGGTCAGGTATATAATAATATAGGCAAGGCAAAGAACCTGGCTAAATTTAACTAACAAAATATAACCAAAAGTAACTCTTTGTTGAAAAGTATGTCATTGTGATTCAAATGTTTCTCAATAGCAATGTATAGGAAGACTGGTGGTGAAATGTCATCCATATATTAAGAAATAGAACTTAACAGCTAAGTTTAAAATCTAAATCGTCCCCTCAAGCAGACAAAGTATAAAAAAATTTCAGATGACATCGTGTGATTGCAATAGCTCCCACTGTCAGCTGTTTGATTCTAGATACATATGTACTCTTCTAACTGTAAACAATCAATCATTTGTTCTATTTTTTTCTAATTAGAATAGCCAATTATTGTTTTGTAGTTGTAAGCAATCCATCTTTCTACTTTTTCTTAGTAATAAAACTAATATACAGTCAATTATTGTTTTGAAGTTGATTTAGATTTGTCCATTTTACAATCTATCAAAAAGTGGAATATCTAGGTTAATTTATGTAATAATACATAAACAAACTCAACCAAAAGTTACTGAATTGTATAAACATATACAAGTTATTATTTAAAGGTAAAGGTATCTTTACAGGTAAAAACTTTGTCCAAATTCATTCATCATTTATGACATTGTTAAGGTTCCTACAGGCATAGATAACATTACAATTCGAGTCAGTCTGACTTTTTTGCCTTTTTTTGGCAAAAGTAGCATCTAATTTATTCAAAATCTAAAAGGGAATCTATTATTAGGGTCACTTTATTTTTTAAATTGAAATTTTATCTCAACTTATATCTTATTGTCCTTATTATTGTAAAAAATTTAGTCAAACTATAACTTTATAATTAGTAAATAAAAAAGAGAGATAAATAAAAGAACACAAGAATCTATTTAAAGAGGCTCATAATCATTCCCTGAAATTAGTAACGGCGATAATAATAAACTATTTACTGCGCACAAATTTGGGAAATGGTTTAACAATTATTACACTCGTGTATAAATAATGACTAAACTTTATACAACTGTATATCCATACCATTTTAAAAGTAAATGTAGATGTACAGTTATTTATAAACTCTTGTCATTTTACTAATATTAAAAATGTATGTATTTCACGAATATAAATGAATTGTGCAATAAGCAATTTAACAATGTTATGTAAATTACCTGTATTTAAATTTTTTCGGACTTCTTCTCCTATCTCTTGTATTATGATAAGAAGGACAGGCATAACCTTGTCTACATAATCTCGGTGGTCTTTTGCATTGCTCTGTTTTGTAATTCTCAAGTACATAGTTGGTATCTGAAAGGACAAACAATCTTCCTTTTATTTTTTTACAAACAAGACAAATGTAAGATATATATATAAACTTTGATGCAAGCATGGCTTTATCTAGACATTTTGGGAAAAGGACCTTGAGACTGATTTAGAGGTTTGGGGGGAATTTCTATTTCCATGGCATTGGTAAAAAGTTAAGTTTAAAACGAGTGCTCTTTTCATATAAGAATCTCTTCCATTGCAGCAAGTGTTGTTCAAACTATATGCTCCTTTCAGACATGATTTAATTGTCCATCTGACAACTAGAACAGCATCACTCATCCAATTCTGTTATCAATTATGAACTATATATAGGCTACAGTAATGACTCAAGATTGCCTTTCAGTGTCTTAGCTTTTTAAAGCCAACAGCATAAATAGGTACTATAATGTATGAAATCATATGTGTTTATTCAATTTACTGATGAAATTATATAGATATCCGGTTCTTCTGTTTTGCATAACACCTTGGTTGTCGACTACTAGTATATTTTCATTTTCTTTTCGTAGCTGATATTCAAATGAAAATTGAAAGTGTTATACATATTAACTAGAAAATGGCAACATCAAAAAGGCCCTTCTTTGGCATATTTGAGTGAGGCACATTTACAAACAAAGCAATATATTTTGTAGGTTTTAAATTTCAATAAATTTCAGGATATGTAATAATCAAGTCACAAAGTTAAAGTCTGAGCTGACTAAGAGTTTTTATTATGTATTATGGCAGCCATTCCCTAATGTACATGTAACTTAAACCTATTTAACAATTTTCATTGAAATCCTGTTCAAAAAGATGTTCTCAAAATTTGAGATTTTTTAACAAATATATGTAATTAGTTTGTACTTAAAATTTGACACCAGGAAAATCGAATCAATTTGGAATAAATGGGGAATGTGTCCATGGGACACGGATGATGCCCCCGCTTGCATAAAACGTTATAAAGGAACATCACTCAAGAACTGTAAAAGTGACGCTACCCAAATTTGTACATGATCTGATTTTTGTGATAATAAGTATTGTGTATAAGTTTCATAACATTTGGTTGAGGCAAACTGAAGTTAGAGAACGGAAATGAAAAATTCAGCAATTTTCCATTTGTAAAGGGACATAACTCTAGAACAGTAAAAGTGACACCACCAAAATTCAAACTTAATCTGTGTTTTGTGGTAATAAGCATTGTGTATAAGTTTCAAAACATTTGGTTGAGGCAAACTAAAGTTAGAGAACGGAATCCAATTTTGGGACGTACGGACGGACGTACATACGGACAAGGGTAAAACTAATAATAACAAATAATCCCTTTTCAGTTTTTGTTGGAATCTTAGCAAAAATGAGTTTTTACCATAATTTTCTTCTCAACTTCTCAAATTCACAAAAAAAAAAAACAATTTTTGGCTTATTAGGAATAGGTACATTTCAACGATTATTGAATCCTAGAACAAAAAGAACTTTCTCAAAATTTGTGATATTTTAACAACTACATATATTTGAGTTTGTGCAGGAATTTTCCATTTAAATTTTCATAGACACCAATTTTTAACACCAAGAATCAATTTGGAGTAGCATAGTGTACTAAAATATCAGTTTTCATTAAAATCCTAGCAAAAAAGTTGTTTCTCAAAATTTATGAACAAAAAATTTTGTTTTTCCAAAATTAATCAGCCAATGCACATCTAAATGTCATGCACAATAATTGTGCAGAATTTTCATTGACTTCCTACCCATGCTTTGGAAGTGTTTGTACATATTATGCACAAAAACTGTGGGAAATTTCATTTGCATCTTTTCCATTGTTTTGGAGTGTACATGTATGCATTTACAAAAACAATTTGCCAAATTTGTGATTTTCAAATAAAAACAAAGATTTTTCCTAAAATTTATTTGCCAATTTTCACCGAAAAAATAATACACACATCTACATACTGTGATCAATTTCATTGGGGTCCTATTCATAATTTTCAAATTTTTGTTTAAAAAAATTAAAGGCAGTTAAATAAACTGCTTCGCTGAGCGCAGCTGGATACGCCCGCAGAGGTCCAACCCTGAACAGTTGGGGCAAAAATGGACACAATATTCAAGCTTGATACAGGTCTGAATTTGGATTGTAATTAAATATTTGACATATTATAGGTTTCTGAATAAATGTAGTCAAAGAACTTGAAGTTGGTTATATGAATTGAATTTATATTCAATGAAAGGACTCTTGCTGTTGTGCAATACACTGTGCACAATGCTTAGTAAATCTGTTGTCAGACTATAAACAAATAAAATCTTATAACTTGGAAACCTAAATTTGAAAATTTATAAAAATCAAAAGGGAGCTTACAAAAATAGATATAAACAATTTACCAAAGTTTCATAAAAAATGCTGAAAGCATTTTTGAGTTATTGTTCGAAAACTGGAAAATTCCCCTTTTTGTAATGAATAAAACCCCATAAATCGGAAACGTATAGTCTAAAATTTATAAAAATCAAAAGGGAGCTCATGTTGATAGAAATAAACAATTCATCAAAGTTTCTTGCAAATTGGTGAAATTGTTTTTGAGTTATTGTCAGAAAACTTGAAAATCCCCCCTTTTTTAATGAATAAAACCCCAAAACTCGGAAACAGTAAATCCGAAATTTATAAAAAAGAAAGGGAGCTCACGTCAATAGATATAAACAATTCACAAAAGTTTCATGCAAATTGGCGAAATTGTTTTTGAGTTATTGTCCGAAAACTGGAAAATCCCCCCTTTTTTAATGAATAAAACCCCAAAACTCGTAAACGGTAAATCCGAAATTTATAAAAAACGAAAGGGAGCTCACGTCAATAGATATTATCAATTCACCAAAGTTTCATACATATTGGTTTTAGCATTTTTGAATTAATGTCCGACATGTTGACGACGGACGGACGGACAGACGGTCAACGGTATACCATAATACGTCCCGTAAACGGGCGTATAAAAATTAAAGAACCTTAGTGAGCATGCTCACATACCCCACGTCCCCATATTGTCATTGGAGAAATAAAATAAGTGTAAGAAAAAAAAATTGAATCATAATTTCTTGTCAATATGCACATCTACATAGTATGTCCTTATTATCTACACAGTTTCATGAAATTCTGTTGTGTGGTTTGAGAGGAGTTGCGATGACAAAAGGTTGCAGTAGTATATTGGGCAAATAAGTTCAAAGGGGTGTAACTCCTGGAAAAAAATTTGAATCGTAATTTCATGTCGATATGCACTTCTATGTAGTATGTCCTTATTATCTGAAAAGGTTTCATGAAATTCTGTTGTGTGGTTTGAGAGGAGTTGCGATGACAAACTGTTGCAGTAGTACATTAAAGTAAATAAGTTCAAAGGGGCGTAACTGTTAGAAAAAGAATTGAATCCTAATTTCCTGTCGATATGCACAACTACATAGTATGTCCTTATTATCTAAAAAGGTTTCGTGAAATTCTGTTGTGTGGTTTGAGAGGAGTTGCGATGACAAGAAACAGGACTGACGTACAGACGGACGGGTCAAAAACATTATATCCTCCGCAACTCGTTGCGTGGGGTATAATTACATGTACATGTATATGAAGCCTGCATCCTTGATGCAGGGCCTTTATTAGAATCATATTAAGTTATTTCATTTCCTTTGCCCAATAGTCCCCTCAAAAGTATATTTTTCATCATACATTTTATACACTCAGGATAGCCAAAACCAAAGCATACCAACAGCAGGTGGAAGGGAAAACAAAAGGGGTCAAATGTCATTATGATTTCTGCAGTCATATAACAGGTGTCACACCTATAGGTAACCAGTGGACAATTACAGACAGGAACGTTTAAATATATATATACATAATCAAGAGCTAATCTAGCACATTGGACTGGCTTAATGACTAACATGACCAAGGCCTGACATCTGAATTGATGATGCAATTTATGTTGAAACATTATTCGGGTCAATGACAACCAAGCTCACAGCATTCCAATTGCATGAAAACCCAGTTATTTATTCACCTAATGCAGTACATGTACTAGTACTGACAATATTTTCATGGAATCAAAAATTTGCTTTCTAAGAGTTTTATAAAGATCAAATTAGCCTTCTTTCTGTAATCTGTCATTGTTGTGTATTCCCTAAAGCAAAATTCTTAACTAAAGATTGAATACAAAATTAAACAGGTGATGATAAACTAGACAAAGATAATACCCTGCCCCATGCATGAATAACGTACTGCTAACATTAGATTTAGCAAACAGTGATGTTGAAGAGAAAATGCTCTTACTGCAAATACATCATTACAAACATGAATGCACATACAATGTATGTAATTGATTAAATTACAATTAAAATCAGGATTACCAAAAAAAAATTAATCAATAAAAACTTATGCATTACAGCATGTCTCTTGCAACATGTGCATAAAATAGTCAAGATAACAATTAGGACATGTAGGATATATTTATATATACATTGTACTTCGGTTGTTGATCCTACATTCCCTGTACAGTAAGATCAGTAACAGGACTCAAAAGTCACCTTTTGGTCAGTGACTTTCCTGTTTTGTTGTCAAAAGCTAAATCAAGGGGCCATGGGATAAAGACAGTTCTCATCATTGGTATATATTCTGTTTCAATGTGACGACAATGGAGCAAAACAATCATATTATGAACATACAAGAGTACACAAGCTTTACTGACCATTGATGGATTATTGAAAGTCTTAAAGATAAAGGTTTTACTACAAGTTTCACACAAAATTAACATTAAGATCCATGACAATTAGGTCAAGGTCAGATAAATCCTGCCAGACAGACATGTACACCTTACAATTATTCCATACAATTTGAAAAAACAGACCAAAACACAAAAACTTTACATTGACTTATGAACTTTCAGTAGACAGGGACGCCAACAAATCTTACTGACAAAATCACAAAACTTATAAAAATATATATTTTTTTTTGAAAATCACTTGTTCTCACAGACAGACTCATTCCAGGG